CTGGTGCCAAATGAACTTGATCGCTTGCCAAGTCCTCTGCGAGCCAGGTTTAATGACAGCTCACCTACTCCATTACATAGGGCTGATGACCGATCGTGGATATATAGCCATGAAATGTATGCTTGTATAATTAGGCCGGACGTTTTTATATATTTGGTTTACAAAACATCTGTCTCCCTAAAATCGAACTGTGAAAAAAAAAATTATAAATGAGAGGCAGAGGTGGTTTTGTTTTAGCCAAGCATAGATAGTATTTATTTTTTCGTCAAATCCCTTCTTTACTGTTGTTATGACTATTCAAATGCAATAATTAGAATCTGTTGGAAATTTGCCATAATTCTTCAAAACAACAAATTACAGATCTGTCCATAATGACAGATAACTCTTAACTTCTTTTTTCCCTATTTCCTTCATCCCCCTTTGTAAAAATTTTCCCAACCCCAAACCCACATGGACTGACCATAAAACCAGAAGAAAATTGTACCCGCGAAGATCCGGATTAGAACTACCGTATATGACTGTAGATAAGCTGAATTTTGAGGACCAAAAAGCGCAATCTGTAGAAGGAGGTCGGGTTATGATATCTACAGGTTACACTTACAAGTAACATGTCTTTGGGATTGGGTGGTCGAAATCGTTGACTTGGTTACACATGATGTCATCGTATCCCAATGGCGTAGATTGATGCTCATGATGTTGATGACTGGATTGTCTGGTCGAAGCTCGATTATTTACATCCCGCTGCCACATGGTTGGCAACAAGCAACAAACAATCAATAAATATCTACACTGTTGATCACTGGATTGTCTGGTCCAGATTCAAATATTTACAGACTGCCGCCATATAGCTGGAATATTGCTGAGTGCAGCGTTAAACAACAAACGATCAATAAATATCTACACTGTTGATCACTGGATTGTCTGGTCCAGATTCAAATATTTACAGACTGCCGCCATATAGCTGGAATATTGCTGAGTGCAGCGTTAAACAACAAACGATCAATAAATATCTACACTGTTGATCACTGGATTGTCTGGTCCAGATTCAAATATTTACAGACTGCCGCCATATAGCTGGAATATTGCTGAGTGCAGCGTTAAACAACAAACAACACCAAACAATATGAAGTATCTTGGAATGGAAGCAGTTGTATTATCACTCAAGTTTTATAGTGAGTGAGTGAGTTTGGTTTTACTCCGCTTTTAGCAATATTCCATCAATATCACGGTGGGGGACACCAGAAATGGGCTTCACACATTGTACCCATGTAGGGATTCGAACCCAGGTCCAAGGCATGACGAGTGAACACTTTAACCACTAGGCTACCCCACCGCCCCCACAAGTTTTGTATGTATTGATGCATGAGGCTGGTGTTTGTCCTGATGTTAACACCTTGTCTCAAGTTCAGTAATGAGTGTTTGAATGCTACGATGGAATTTCATTCCAACCAATTTGCACGGTCATCTTGAGTGACCCCACTTGATATGCATGAACATGAAAACAACATGTATGTTTAATGGGACAGCTGAAATCCAAACCAGAAAATGTTATGTATGACAGTCACAAGTCCCTCAGTGAGACATTTGCACTTGGTAGGCATTATTAGGACTTGATGAAATTTGCCATTTAAAGGTTTTTATAACCCCGACCTGAAAAATAAATCAGGTATATATAGCTGTACCAAGGAATTCTGTCCATCCGAAGGCATTTTTTGTTCAACTAAAAACTCTTGGTTGGATTTTGTTTTCAAAAATTTGTACTACTTTCTTTGTCTAAGGAAGACCCGTGAAGATCCGGGTTAGAATTGGTCTCCAGTAACCCATGCTTGTCGTAAGAGGCGAATAACGGGATCGGGTGGTCAGGTTGACACATGTCATCGGTTCCCAATTGCGCAGATCGATGCTCATGCTGTTAATCAGTTGATTGTCTGGTCCAGACTTGATTATTTGCAGACTGCCACCATATAGCTGGAATATTGCTGAATGCGGTGTGACACTAAACTCACTCACTCACTCACTTTGTCTAAAGGAAAGGTGCAGTGCCAATTTACAGTAGCCTAATGGTAAATACGTTTGCTCGTTACGCCGAGTACCCAGGTTCAATTCCCCACATGATTGATATTGCTGGAATACTGCTCAAGGCGGAGTAAAACCAAACTCACTGTTCTTCAGCTGAAGTTGGGAGTCACAGTAGGGAGTATTAGTGAGCATTGCTATTTTATTCACTGTGAGCTATATGTTATGGACTAGAAAAATCAGTTAGATTGTACAGTTGTGATAATTGTCCTAGTGATACAGGGCGGTGGGGTAGCCTTGTGGTTAAAGCGTTCGCTCGTCACGCCGAAGACCCGGGTTCGATTCCCTTACATGGGTGCAATGTGTGAAGCCCATTTCTGGTGTCCCCCACCGTGATGTTGCTGGAATATTGCTAAAAGCGGCGTAAAACTAAACTCACTCACTCACTCCCAGTGATACAACAGTTAGTGAACAAGCTCGATATAATCTGCAGCAGGCAAAAGATAACAACCTGTTTGTGTGCTTAGGGAAGTAGTATGGCCAGGTGTAGCTTCCAGATCTGTTACTAAAGTAGTATTTTGTCATGGAAACAAGTCTATCAGATTTTTAAAAAAAGCTTGAACTCTCAATAAAGCTGGCTTGTGGAATTAAAAGTACAATTGCGTTGTGTGAGGTCTCATAGGACAGGCTGATAGCCAATAGGGCTGTTATCATTCCAGCATGTTTGGTCAATCGAACCATATCCCTTCATAATTCAATACATTATTCGTGATCACTAGAATTGAATATTCATGGAAAGAATATGTTTCACTTGAACTTGTCAGTTGTTTATCAGAGTGAGGATATATTAAATATACCCAGGCCAGGGAGTATAATCATGATATTAGGCAGTATAATAGTCTCCACTGTTATATATTTAATTCCACAGTAGTGTGGTCACTGGTCATTGTACTGATAAATTAACACTGTCAATATGGTTGATACTGGTCAATATATTTTGTTACCCCCCGCAATGCGTTTTGCGAGGGGTGGGGTGTGTGTTATCATTAAAATGGAGTCCGTGCGTGTGTCCGTGCGTGAGTCCATGCACATTTGTCTTTTCCGGAGCAGAACTTTGAAACCGTTCAATATTTCTTCACCAAACTTGGCACATACATAGATCTGGTGGTGTACTGGTGCCTTTTGGTAGTTTTGGATTTCTGAATTAAATATTTTTGGCGTTTCCATGGCAACAAGTTTGACTTCGACTGAAACTGGTGGTACGGTAGTGCTCCTTTCTGGAGCAGAACTTTAAAAACCTTTCAATACTCTCCTTCCACCTTTCTATATACACACCAAAACCTTTGACATAATCATAACTCGTAGACATATTCATGAAGAGCATTTTGCCATTGCGGTCCATTGATGACTTTGTCTTCTTGTTATTTTTGTCATAGAATATTATTTATAATACAGTCACTGCTGTGTTAGTCATGTGACTTTATACATAAAACAATATTTGTATTCATTATGTCTATGTTGTTGATATGTATCATATTCACCTCATTGTAGATTCTATGCAGCCCAAATAGCCAGCATCACATGCATACCATATTTCGTCTATTAGATGCCCAGGCGTCTGTTATTTCCGTGCATGACGTTGACCCTGCATATATATATTCGTTTTGACGCCATTATGTAAAAACTGCCCACCTAAAGGCTCACAATTCCATCATGATTTACCAATTCCTATGAAATATATTATACTTTGTAAAGACACTCTTGAAGAGACAGTTTGTTAGATCATGTATATAGCCGGAACTGTAATGTTTACTTCCCATAATGGGGCAGTGGGGGTAGTCTAGTGGGTAAAGTGTTCACTTGTCATGCTGAAGACCCGGGTTCAATTCCCCACATGGGTACAATGTGTGAAGCCCATTCCTGGTGTCTCCCGCTGTGATATTGCTGGAATATTGGTAAAAGTGGTATGTAACTAAACTCAGTCACACTCACTAACTTCCCATCATGGCAGAATGGTGGAACCGAATACCAGCCCTTCATTAAAACTTTTTGGGTTTTTTGTTTGTTTTTTTTGTTTTGTCTTTTTTTCTATTGTTTTTTTTTTATTTGTTGAAATGTTTTTGTTTTGGGAATAATACAATAATGCATTAAGGAGATGTTGTATTTCAGTGATTTCATCATTTCTTTCAATTTATTGTGGTGTATTGTGATACGATACGATACATATTATTAGTCAATATCGTGATATGTATCATATCGCCAGATACCAGGGGATACTCTGCTCACTCCTTGACACACTTCCGCACATGGTCAGCAGTTCTCTAGGACAGTAGAGTACCTGTACAACCAGAATGATAGGTTAAGCGTTCACAGGGCTGTAGACAGCTTGTGCAGCAAAAACTGTAACATGTAAAAATAGTCTCTACTGTCTGGGAGACGAGGTAAGATACATGGTGTTGTTTGTTGAATGAATAAATCATCCGATGTCCCTCTGCTGCTATTAGCAGTTGTTAGGGAAACAGCGTTGAGGTTCAGTGATGGGTTTTCTATACTGTGGGACAGCATGTTTCACAGATGTATTGCATGATGCTATTAGCAGTGTAGGAAAGATAGCCCGTCCCAACGTCCGAGACGGGTGAATTTTGTGGAGGACGGGTTAAAAAAATATTAGCAAACCAATGACATATATATAATGATTATAACCTTTTTGAATATTTACTGCCGAAGGTGTTTTACTTATATTTGGAGGACAGGCTAGATTTTGGCAGGACTGGTACAAAATTTGACCTGCCAGTCCTGTGGACAGGCTAGATTTTCTACATCTTTCCTACACTGCTATTGGCAGTTGTTAGGGAAATAGTGTTGAGATACTGTAATGGCTGCATGTTTCACAGATGTATTGCAGGACGCTTTTAGCAGTTGCAAGGGAAATAGTGTTGAGATACTGTAATGGCTGCATGTTTCACAATGTGATGATGTTGCAGGCACTACCGGAGAGTGATCCTGAAGGGGCTCAACAAGGACCTGAAGGACGAGCTGAGATATGTGTCGGAGGTGATCGAAGACAACCCCAAGAACTATCAAGTCTGGTGAGGATTGAGGAAAAGTCCTTAGTTGTGGGGGCGGTGGGGTAGCCTAGTGGTTAAAGCGTTCGCTCGTCACGCCGAAGACCCGGGTTCGAATCCCCACATGGGTACATTGTGTGAAGCTCATTTCTGGTGTCCCTCGCTGTGATATTGCTGGAATATTGCTAAAAGCAGCGTAAAACCAAACTCACTCACTCACTCCTTAGTTGTGTGCTGATGCATGTGGTGCAGTGGGATGATCAGTTTTATTTTATACTTATCCTGACTCATGCTCTTTTGCTTGTCTTCTTCTTCTTGCGAACACAGTGGAACACTTGTATCTCCCAATTGAAGCTCCCTTCAATGTAAAATCACTAATTAGTACTCACCAAGAGTTGTCTCCTTCCCAACCATTTGCGTTGGAACGAGGGCACCACCTTCCGCCACATGCCTGCTCACTGGGCGAAGAAGGAGAGAGTGAGGATAAGTATAAAATATCAATTTTATTCAGAAAATTACATTTTGGTCTGAAGAAAAAACTGAGTGCAATGTATAGATAAATAAATTCCCAGGGCACATCATATAGGTCACACCTTTTGAAATCTGTTGTCAGTGATGGTAATAATGGTCAGGGGACGTCCACTATTTGTCATCCATAACTGGCTTCTATAGGAGGTATCCTTGATCTCACCATGTGATATTGAATCTTATTACCCACGTGGTCAACGTATGGGTAGTTGCATACTAATCTCGTACATCGCACGAGTGTCGTATCGCGTTGACCTGTGCCGTAACGACTTGACCTGAGATTCTAACAATTTGATTGGATAACCGATGACCTCTCAATTAGGTCACGTTGTGAAGGAACTACGTTTTCATTCATAACAAACACGTGAAATTCATTCATTCTACAACTTAGATGCATTGTGGGAATGTAAACATTGCGACCGTTGCCATGTCGCTGTTTAATTGTGAGTGCCGAACTGAGACAGTATATCCGTGGAAAAACATAAACGCAATGTTTCCACCAGTGATGTTAGCCGAGTGAAGCGCCTGCAAACCAAGAAACAGGGTGCTACGGAGTAGTTTACTGTAGGAGGCTGTACGAGGCGATGACAACTGACATGCATCGTAACGTCGGTTACCAAGGGGACAGACGAGAAATGGCGTAGTGACGTCATTACAGTGTGACGTCATGCAAAAAGTGTTCTACAGTAAAAACATTTTCCGCAACCTCTATATGAAACCGGTTTCGGTTTGAAACCATAAAAATAACAAAAATACGCTATTTTGTCAATTTAATGCATGTAAGACGTGGGTAATAAATAAAATACCATACTCGGTCTCATTACATATGAATTATACGAAACTCGTGACCTTCCTATGATACCATAGGAAGGACACGAGTTTCGTATGTAATGAGACCTCGTGTAGTATTCTCTATATATTGCTTCTTCAGACCATTGTGATGTCATCAGTTATCATTATGTCACAATCAAGTGATGTCACTAATCTCGTCCATTGAAGCTGGTTATTTGTATCTTTAACTCTGAAGACATTGGTTATTTAGGAAGATTGATTTTAGATAGTAAATAGCGTCTCTGTCTATTTTCTACTTTCTTTGTCGTTGGGATTCATTTGTTGAAAAAAAGTTAAACTGTTAAAATGTTTAGCATGGATGTCTAAGATTTGATTGAATATATTGATTGAAAATCCTTGTTTGGCCAGTCCTGTATCTCAGCTTATTGACTCTACTAAGTGATTGATTTATAGTACCTCGGTCACTTTGGGCTTCCTTTCAAATAAAGCTGAAATCATGGTGTAATGTGCATGCTGCTCCAGGCAGTGTTTAGCTCAGTCAGCGTTATGGGAGGAAAAGGATACAGGATTTGCTTAAGTACCACTCCACATCACACACGCACACATGCACACATGCACAGAATTTAGAATGTTGTAGGTCTGTATTTCATTGTGGTATGGGTGTTGGTAGTTGAATCAAAATTTGTAAATTTAATTGACCAATTTTGCCGTCTCCTTAAGCTTTGGGCTTGTAAAACATATTGCTTTGGGCTTGTAAAACATATTGCTTTGGGCTTGTAAAACATATTGCTGCAACTTGTGATTAATAAGTATACTAGCTGATTCATCCTGTAATAAATTTAACTTGAACTGTTAAGTAATCTGATCTGTGTGACAGGCACCATCGTCGGGTGTTGATCGAGTGGTCCCGAGATGCCGGTCAGGAACTTCACTTCACAGAGAAAATACTGAGGGAAGATGCCAAGAATTACCACGCGTGGCAGCACAGGTATGTCGGCAGCAGGAAGAATATTGCCATACCGGTTAAACTAAAGTTTGTGGAAGCATTGTTCCTACCTGTTTGTGTCAAGGGAGATCACAGTCTCTTTTCACTTCGTCTTGACAAGGTGGGGTGGAGTAGCCTAATGGTTAGAGCATCTGCTTGTCACGTTGAAGACAAGGGTTTGATTCCCCACATGGGGACAATGTATGGAGCCCATTTCAGGGGTACCTCGCCATGATATTGCTCAGATTTTGCTAAAAGCAGCGTAAAACCATACTCGCTCACTCACTTGTCTTGTCCAAACGGGGATATTGGGATAGGCTGACAAGTGATGAAGATGTTTGATATGGTTTGGGGAATTGAAATATTTTCAACTGTAAACTTGAAGAAATATTTTGGTATTACAGGCTACTTGTTCAGAATTTTTCATATTTCTGTTCTTTAGTTACATGTTTTGATATATATCTCCCTGTGTGTTGTAATGTGTTAAATCTTGTACCATCAATGCTCTAATCACCTTATGTAAACATGGATCAGATGCAAACCCAGAAAATCGAAGAGAGAAAAATCTGCATACAAAGTATTACTGTACACACAACTAGCTATATATACATGCTTCAGACCAGTCATGGGTGATGATGATTCTGTTTTCGGTCCTCACTGACAGTAGGCACTGGTATAAAATACTGGACAGGATGTATATCATGTAAAGATACTGATGCTATTATATGAACCTTAGAAACTGTAGCTTCACTGCTATATTTTTCCTTGTGGGAGTGGCCTGTATTTTGACCTTGGCGGTTTGTTGTTGCTTGTGAACCAGGAAACAGATGATGGTGTTGCTGGTTCCTGTAACTGATACAGTGGTGGAAATAACTTTAAAATTGCTAGTGTACTCCAGTACAGTGGCACATGTAAAATCATTTGCCCTGATAATTTTTCCGGCTGATTTTCCTGTTCATTTTTTAAGTAAACAACATAATTAACATTGGAAAGTCAACTGGACACCGGTACAGCGTGATATACAAATTTGCTTGCCCGACAGAAAAAAGCACTGGACTGGGACGTCGGGCAAGGGGTTATTTCCACCCCTGTGATATTGTTGGTATGGTTTTGTATATTCCAGTCATTCATTGGTTCCCAATTGCGCAGATCAATGTTCATGCTGTTGATCACTGGATTGTCTGGTCCAGAATCGATTATTTACAGACCACCGCCATATAGCTGGAATATTGCTGAGTGCGGCGTAAAACTAAACTCACTCATTCACTCCTCCAGTCATTAAGACTGACCTGGATTCAGTAGTAAAGCCAACTAGACTGTGTCTGATTTGTTAGCTTTACACAATATTATGTGTAAAACTGATCAGATTTCTGCCTGTATGTTATGGACGTTATACAGCCTATATTCCTTTTATAGCTTGGTTATACAACAGATTTTGATCACCAATGTTTGGATGCATGTGTCTTCAGGCAGTGGGTGATCATATTGACTTGTGTGTTTAGACATTGGGTGATCATGATGAAGACTTGTTGGTGATCTTGTTGACTTGTTTGTCAGGCAATGGGTGATCCAGGAGTTTGGCCTCTGGGACAAGGAACTGGACTATGTGGACAAGCTGTTGAAGGACGACCTCCGCAACAACTCCGCCTGGAACCAGCGCTATTTCGTCATCAAGAACACCACTGGCTTCTCTGACACTGTCACAGAGAAGGAAGTCAGGTAGGGCTGCTGCTGAGACAGGCCTCCGATTACTGTTACTGGGTAGAACAGAGAAGGAAGTCAGGTAGGGGTGCTGCTGAGACAGGCCTCCGATTACTGTTACTGGGTAGAACAGAGAAGGAAGTCAGGTAGGGCTGCTGCTGAGACAGGCCTCTGATTACTGTTACTGGGTAGAACAGAGAAGGAAGTCAGGTAGGGCTGCTGCTGAGACAGGGCTCCGATTACTGTTACTGGGTAGAACAGAGAAGGAAGTCAGGTAGGGCTGCTGCTGAGACAGGGCTCGATTACTGTTACTGGGTAGAACAGAGAAGGAAGTCAGGTAGACAGGGGCTGCTGCTGAGACAGGGCTCCGATTACTGTTACTGGGTAGAACAGAGAAGGAAGTCAGGTAGGGCTGCTGCTGAGACAGGCCTCCGATTACTGTTACTGGGTAGAACAGAGAAGGAAGTCAGGTAGGGCTGCTGCTGAGACAGGGCTCCGATTACTGTTACTGGGTAGAACAGAGAAGGAAGTCAGGTAGGGCTGCTGCTGAGACAGGCCTCCGATTACTGTTACTGGGTAAAACAGAGAAGGAAGTCAGGTAGGGCTGCTGCTGAGACAGGCCTCCGATTACTGTTACTGGGTAGAACAGAGAAGGAAGTCAGGTAGGGCTGCTGCTGAGACAGGCCTCCGATTACTGTTACTGGGTAGAACAGAGAAGGAAGTCAGGTAGGGCTGCTGCTGAGACAGGCCTCCGATTACTGTTACTGGGTAGAACAGAGAAGGAAGTCAGGTAGTGCTGCCTTCTGGTAAAACAGACAGGCCTCTCCATTACTGTTACTGGGTAGAACAGAGAAGGAAGTCAGGTAGTGCTGCCTGCTGAGACAGGCCTCGATTACTGTTACTGGGTAGAACAGAGAAGGAAGTCAGGTAGGGGCTGCTGCTGAGACAGGCCTCCAATTACTGTTACTGGGTAGATTCTACCCAGTAACAGTAATCAGAGGCCTGTCTCAGCAGGGATGGACATGGACACTATGTCGATTGATGGTCGAGAGATTAGATTTGATTGAATAGACAGACTCTGTGACTTGTCTGATGTGATAGACCTTTTGTCATTCTCACCCCTAGGATCGCTGGTTTTCACAATCAGTTACATGCCAGACCCACGAAGATCAGGGTTAGAATTGGTCTTCAGCAACCCGTGCTTGTTGTAGGGGGCGACTAACGGGATCGGGTGGTCAGGCACGCTGACTTCGTTGACATGTCATTGTATTCCATTTGAGTAGATTGATGCTCATTATATTAATCACTGGATTGTCTCGTCCAGACTTTAATATTTACAGACCGTCGCCATATAGGTGGAATATTGCTGTGGTGTCATATGAGAGTGTTTGCAGTTGTCTAAGGGAGATAAGTCAGGTTTGCAGTTAATGCATGAGCACATGTTTTATAGAGAAATGGTAAAAAAACATGTGGACGTAATTGTATAGAAATAGGTTGAAGATAAAGTGAGAAGTATATTTCATTGAGCACCCATTGGGCCGATACTGTTCAACATGTGATAGGGTTTATGAGTTACTTCATACTACTTGTATATTGGATGTATTTTCTTGCTGGTAGAATTAATGGGAATATTGTTTTAAAGTTAAGAAGTACATTTTGGTTGGTATATTGAGAGAACTTGTGTTTCAGATATACTCAAGATTTCATCAAGAAAGCTCCAAACAACGAAAGTGCATGGAACTATATGAAAGGGTAAGTGAACTAGTTGTAGTAGTCATAAAAGGCGACTGACGGGATCGGGTGGTCAGGCTCGCTGACTTGGTTGACACATTTCATCAGTTCCCAATTGCGCAGATCGATGCTCATGCTGTTGCTCACTGGATTGTCTGGTCCAGACTCAATTATATACAGACCGCCGCCATATAGCTGGAATATTGCTGAGTGTGGCGTACAACCAAACTCTCTCACTCGCTAGCTACACTTATAAGTCACAACCTGTGAAGATCCACTTGGAATTGGTCTTCAGCAACCCATGCTTGTTGTAAGAGATGACTAACGGGATCGGATGGTCAGATTCGCTGATTCACTGATTCTGTGGATCTTGTTACACTTATAAGTCACAACCTGTGAAGATCCACTTGGAATTGGTCTTCAGCAACCCATGCTTGTTGTAAGAGATGACTAACGGGATTGGATGGTCAGATTCGCTGACTTGGTTGACACATGTCATCATAGATCGATGATCATGATGTTGATCACTGCATTGTCTGGTCCAGACTTGAATATGTACAGACCACCTCCTTGTAGCTAAGAAACAAACAAACAAAACCTTTCAATCTTTGGTTTGTCTGTCCAGTCTTGATAACTTACGATTGCCTATATATATACAGCTGATACCTGACCAACTGTAAAATTAAACAATAAACAATACTGTTGATGACCGCAGTGGCAGCCATCTCTCTTCATGGGTATGTTATACACCAACAGCCATGCTGTCACATTGTAATGTCTTGGCCTCTGCTTGCAGGGTTCTGTTGGACCGGGAGTTGAGCAAGTACCCAGGTCTGATGGAGTTCTGTACGGAGCTGTACGACAACCGGTACCGCTCACCCTACCTCATCGCCTGCATGGTGGACACGTACGAGGAGATGCTGGAGTTGGGCTGTGAGGAGAAGGAGTCTGTCCTGCAGAAGGCCCTGGAGGTGAGGATGGGGAGGCAGAGAACACGATCAGTTTATTGACATTGATAGTAATGTGCTAACAGTTAACATGTTTCTGGGTATTATTAATTTTTATTTTAGATGTTATTATGACAAAGACCTATATCTAGTTTTAATGTCTTAATTTAGTTAAATGGTTCTTTTCTTGTCTTGGCAGTAACGTTACCTCTTCATTGATGCCTGGATTAATCCCGTCCATTGCCATTACCAGTCAGCGCCAATTACCAACTGGCTTCCCTTGTTATCTGATCACTGTAGTTATTTCACACACCAGGGGTGAAAATAACCCACGTCCGACGTCCGAGTTCAGTGTTTTTCGGTATAGTGGAAAAATTATCAGGGCAAGTGACATTACATGTGCCACTGTACCGGAGTACACTATCAATTTTAAAGTTATTTCCACCCCTGCACACTCTTATATAGCTGTCTGCTTCCTATTGTGACATTTACCTGATGAAGGAGGTAAACAAAGTAGTTGACATCCATAAATTCTAGCATTTATGTGCTTTATCTTGACTTTCATTCTGTTTCAGTTGTGTAATTCCTTGGCCGAGGAGTATGATACAATCCGACGTGAATACTGGAGCTACGTGTCTCGCTCGTTAGCATCAAAGTTTGGGACTGAAGTAGGGGGCAACTCCTAGTACAGATTGTGATTGGTCGGTAGTGACAGTGTACATATCCCTAGTAGATCATCCACATCTCCTGCACTCCTATAAGTGATGTCTCTCGGCCATACAGCAGATGTCACTTGCCTCCTGCTGCACCTGTGCGTTTGATTCCAATACAATACAGGATTTCTACATTTAGTTTTTCCAGTAGGGTGTGTTTCAAGTGGCAGTAGCTGCTTCTCAGAAGCAGGGTTGATACTTGTGATGTTGAAGTAATTTGAAGCTGGTATGTTGCAGGTGGAATCCATTGTTTCATCGAAACAGGGTTGTTACTTGTGATGTTATAGCTGTTTATGAGGTGGCTGTTACAAGTGACACCCAATGCTTCATCGAAGCAGGTTTGTTGCTTGTGATGTAGAAGCAGTGTTGAGGCTGTTGTTACAAGTGGCACCCAATGCTTCATCGAAGCAGGTTTGTTGCTTGTGATGTAGAAGCAGTGTTGAGGCTGTTGTTACTAGTGGCACCCAATGCTTCATCGAAGCAGGTTTGTTGGCAGAAGCAGTGTTGAACAAGTGGCTGCTTCATCGAAGCAGGTTTGTTGCTTGTGATGTAGAAACAGTGTTGAGGCTGTTGTTACAAGTGGCACCCAATGCTTCATCGAAGCAGGTTTGTTACTTGTGATGTAGAAGCAGTGTTGAGGCTGTTGTTACAAGTGGCACCCAATGCTTCATCGAAGCAGGTTTGTTGCTTGTGATGTTGAAGCAGGGTTGACGCTGCTGTTACAAGTGACACCCATTGCTTCCTAGAAGCAGGCCTGTCTCTTGAGATGTTATGGTGGTTTGTTTGACGTAATCAGATGGAGAATTATAAACTGTTCATATCTCTATCTCATCTCTATCTCACAAGACATTAAACGTGTCTCGAAGGTTGCATCTCAAATTGAGGTCAGAACAAGGGTTTTGCTGTTTTACAGATTCTCATGGTATTAACCGGGTATCATATAAAAATAAATACACTTCTCATGATTTACTAAGGACCACTGTCTTGACTGAGGATGTCTGTTGATCCAAAGTAAATGTTGGTTACTGTGTATTATATCATTGCCCTTGTCGACCATGAACTGAAAATGATTTTTTACAAACATTCAAGCATGAAGATATGGAAATTCTATTTTTGTCATGAAAAAGACGTTTATGTAGGAATTATTTTAGTTTGTATTACAATTTTGAACAAATTCAGGCAGATTTGATTGGCCTGGGTGGAAGATTACAAATTCAGGCAGATTTGATTGGCCTGGGAGGAAGATATTTTGGAGAAATTCTGAATACAGGTCCCTGTTCCCATAATTTCGATATTTTCTTCTTCTCCAAGTTATTTAACCTGCGTACATGTGGCACTATTATAAGACTAGCTGTATCTGGAGACACGCATTACCGCTGCTACAGGGTCCCAATCCACTCAGCAACTGTAGTCCAAAGACAATGACAGCACTGACTCACTGCTGTTGTGAGGCTATGAACACTTTGTGGATATGGGCCCGGAACAGTGCTTTAGTGGTGTGTGCTGCATTTGGATGTATTTGGATTTTCTATGGAATTCTTTTTTATTTTTCAGTAATCCATGAATACCTGCTTTGTTGTTTATAATTAAAGGGGAAAATATATGCACATTTTACCTGAAGCACATGTAATCAGTGAAACTGTTATACCAATAAGCTTCACAGGTGTGCCAACATTTAGTCAAAGGGACATAACTCTATCTACTCTTCATTATCTGCAGTATGAAGGATTTTACTGTATTTGATCATGCAGGAAATATGAAGGAAACTTTTTGTGTTAGTGAAGTGAATATTACCTTAAGAATTTTGGTAAGATGCAAAACATACTCCATTATCATTCAGACCAATTTTACAAGAGTTTGTAAATATTTACAGAAAACAATCTCCAGATCTTATGTTCACAATGATTACATTTGATCCTCTATGTTTGTTTTGTAACTTGACCAGCTGTTTCGTATTGAACAAATAGGACTTTTTGGTGTGATAATCTTCAAAGGTCTTTTTCTCAGCTTGCTTGGGAGTATCTTTGGATTGAATTTGACATTGCAGTTTAAATCAGGATTGTTCACTGAAAGTGAAGTGCATAAAACGAAATGATCAAATGGAGCAAACAGATTTATTTTCTAGTTTTTGATTTTGATTGTGTTGCAGAAGGATTGACATGATTGGTGTGTGAATGTCCCTGGGGGTATGATTGATAACTGGTGGATCCTTCGATTGGGGGCATTAAGACATAAGTTATTGACCGTATGAAAGGATGAATGATAGTTTTGACCATGGTGACAGAAAAGGGTTACCATGAACACAATAATGTTTACCTGGACAGGTGGACAGTGTTTTACTGAACTTTGTTTAATTGGTGAAGTCTTAACATTATTCAGTTATATAAGAGTTTCCTGGTGAATGATTCCAGAATTCCACGATGCTTCCAAATTTATTATGGTTTATGTCAGCCCAGTTACAACAGTGCATATTGTATAAAACACTCCATTTCAGTGTTTCGTAAAGAAACTTCGGTGGCAAATCAAGAAACACAAGATATTCATACAGAATCTGGAGATCAGCTGGTGAAGTCTGATGTTAAGACTCTTGAGATAAGTCAATCTCAAGTTTGTAATTCTGTGCTTTCATCCTTGTTCAGTAGAAGATAATATGCCCGACGACTATGCTTGTCGTGGAAGGCAGTGCTGTCAGGGTTGCTGACTTTAGTGATAGTGATTGTCATACTGAAATGACATGGATCATTATTCATCAATCACCGGATTGTTCGGTCCAGATTATATTATAAAAATGCCACTGGAATGGCAGGCTGAAATATTGCTGAGTGCAATAAGCAGCAGATACGGAAACAGCTGACAGACTCGAACACAGGTGTTCTGTGCATCTTTGAGGGATCGGGCGGTCAGGCTCGCTGACTTGGTTGACACATGTCATAAGTTCCCAATTGCGCGGATCGATGCTCATGCTGTTGATCACTGGATTGTCTGGTCCAGACTCGAATATTTACAGACTGCCACAATATAGCTGGACTATTGCTGAGTGTGGCGTAAAACTAAACTCACTCACTCACTCACTGCATCTTCAGTTCCATGTGTAAGCTTGGCTTTACACTGGCAGGTAAGGCTGGTTTCGTTAAGGGAACTAAAACAAGGAGATTGCTAGTGGAGATTGATAACATTAGAAGCTATCATTCAGCTTGCACTGACATTATGTCTATATGTTTCATTGTATCAATGATTTGACAACCATGATTAAGACAGTACATATGCTACTTTGTTATAAAGAAAGGTTCCTTTTTACATATATTTCTGATATAAATTAATGTTGAGAATGTGTGTGATTATGCTTGTGGAGAAAGAAATTTATGTGGTCAAATATATTGCTGTCTTAAAAGGAGTTATAAAGTAAGTTATAAAAATTTATATATAACAAAGAGATATTTTCTTGTGTAAAAATAATAAATTATTTATGTCTTTATTACACTTTTTCAAATTTCTTTAGAACTGCTTACATGGCTAAGCTTCTTGTAAATTGCTCGTAAAATTAATGCTTGCTTGAAGCTCAACAGTAGAAGAACCAGTACAAGGATACCGATATATTTGCAGAAAAATAAGTTAATCAGCTCCTCATTTGTGTGATTGGTCTAAATTTAAGTTAATTAGCTCCTCATTTGTGTTATTGTCTGATTTAAATGAAGGGAGAAAGCACCTTGATGTTCTGTCCAAAATCTTCGGGTTTTGGAAAGATGAGTATATGGACCTCAAAGAAGGTACTTATGCAGCATGTGAACTGATGCAGGTGTTAACTTATCTCTTTAGAGTGGGTATAGAGGCAGGGGAAGCATCTATCAGTTTTATATAAATCATTTTTGTAATGAGACTTTCAGTTTAAGAGTTGCACTTTCAACAAAACTATCTTTATAAATACAGTTCTATTTTTGCTTTGTATATAGAGATTTGGAAACCAATTTGCATGTATTTTTTGTTTTGTGCATGATTGTCAAAATAAGCATAAAAAACGATTTTAATGTTTTAAAATTAACTGCCCAAGATTCAGGATTTGGACAAATGAAGTGAGCAAGCATGTTGATGCGTGCCATTTGTCAGAGAATTGCTATATAAAATGTATAATTGAGTTTAGCAATTATGATATTCTTGTTGCAAATCTTTTCATTTGATGGTGTGTTTAAAATTGAAATGAATGGATCTCTTTGTTGTGTATGGCAGCTACAGTGAATCGGTCAGCATGTCTGGATGCTATTATTTTACAAATGCTCAAGTACTTTCCATGCCCTGTTCTGTAGATAGTCTCCAAGCAAATGGGGAATTCAGTGCGGGGCTCTTACGTTCAGGGTTTGCATAATAAATGTAAATATTCAGATTTACAATTTTAAAAAAAAATTGAATATCCTTTGAACTGAAACGTGTGAGTTTTGTCATTAGTAATTTGTAATCTTGCTTCTGGTTTTGACACTTTGATACAGATGCTTCCTGTTTTAGATGGCCCTATGGGTCGAGTGGCTGTTTCAGCCATCTCTGTGTAGCAGGTTCTTTTCCTGCCTGAGTGGTTGGTGTGCTCCACATGTCACCGCACATCAGATGAAATAAACCTCAGTATTATCTGAAAACTTTGTTTTGTTATTGCTACAAAAGAGGCTTCCTGATGAGTAGTTAGCACACACAAATGTTAAATTTGTTTTAAGTAAATGGTAAAATGTGTGAAGCCCATTTTCTGGTGTTTTCCGCCGTGATATTGCTGGAATATTGCTAAAAGCGGCGTAAAACTATACTCACTCACACTAAGTAAATGATATTACAGTGATGTAATTGTAACGGCTGATGTTTGAAACAGATTACTTTTTCAAAATCTCCTTTGAAGCATGCACCATTTCTGGTGTCCCTTGCCGTGATATTGCTGGAATATTGCTAAAAGCGGCGTAAAACTATACTCACTCAAAGCATGCAATGACTTCCTAACAAGTTCTTTTTTTCATATCAAATTCAAGTTTATATCATCCCAACAACCAATACCATCAAACTAGATTACATGAACAATTGCAGAAATAATGCCTAAATGTTAAACGTTTTGGTCATGTATATATTGTCAGATAAATTTACTGATGTTTTATTATTTTTCATATCTGAGACCCTTAAAGGATTGTTGAAGCAGAGCCATGGTTCTTCGCAATACTCATCTTAAATGGTAGAAATGTGATCCCAAGATTCCGAGTGTAAAAACAGTTAAATATTAATTCCAGTGAGACACCTGAGAATGAGCCTGAAGTGGCCATGCACAGAGAATCAGATTACTATTCCCTTGACAAATCAATGAGCATAGTGCAACGAGTGATTATTATGGAGATAGATCAAATATTGATAACAGTCAACAGAGCACTGCAGGGGAGGTAACTCCTGACACCTTGTATACAATTAGAGCCCTTTTCTCCCAGTCTTTGACTGTTGTCCCTTTCTGCCCAGCCCTAGTGTAATTCAAAAGCCATAACTGAAGTCTAGAATTCCCACCAGGTTCTGAAATACCCTTTTTAAGTAAAAGAGGAGTTACTTGTTTTCCAAATTATATATTTTTAGACAGTAAGTGTTAGTCTATTACAACCATAACAGAATACAGAATTCATCTTTTTTAATTTATGTTAAAATGAAACTCTGAACTGAGGGATTGTAACAGGCATTTGTAAACATTTATGCTTAAGACTGTATCCTTGGACTAATGAAGGTCGGGCTAAGAATTGGCCTACAGCAACTCCAGGGTCATTCAATAAACTTTCAGGAGGACAAAAGTATGCACCCCCATCTAGATCTGCCTATGAGAGGCAACGAACAGGACTTCGTTGATATGTGATATTGTTGCGTAGATCGATGCTCATGATGTCTATCACTGGATTGTCTAGTCCAGACTTGATTATTTACAGACTGTCAACATATAGCTGGGATATTGAGTGAGGCTTTACATAGCAAGCAAAATGTATCCTTGTTTAACTGCTGTTTAAGTCATACTAAGGTGCATGCAGTCGCATACACATGCATACATGCATGCAGGTGGAGAGAAAACATACTGAATGCAGGTTCACTCCCACATCCAACTGTCAGGTTGTGATTTTGCTTAAGCATTTTTGCATGCAGACGCCTTCAGCCTGGTTGTATTTTATACCCACACCTTCAGCCTGGTTGTATTGCACACCCACACCTTCAGCCTGGTTGTATTGCACACCCACACCTTCAGCCCGGTTGTATTGCATACCCACACCTTCAGCCTGGTTGTATTGCACACCCACACCTTCAGCCTGGTTGTATTGCACACCTACACCTTCAGCCTGGTTGTATTGCACACCTACACCTTCAGCCTGGTTGTAGTGCACACCTACACACCTTCAGCCTGGTTGTATTGCACACCCACACCTTCAGCCTGGTTGTATTGCACACCCACACCTTCAGCCTGGTTGTATTGCACACCCACACCTTCAGCCTGGTTGTATTGCACACCAACACCTTCAGCCTGGTTGTGCACACCCACATTGCATATCCACACCTTCAGATCGGTTGTATTGCACACCCACACCTTCAGCCTGGTTGTATTGCACACCAACACCTTCAGCCTGGTTGTATTGCACACCCACACCTTCAGATCGGTTGTATTGCACACCCACACCTTCAGCCTGGTTGTATTGCACACCCACACCTTCAGATCGGTTGTATTGCACACCCACACCTTCAGCCTGGTTGTATTGCACACCCACACCTTCAGCCTTGGTTGTATTGCACACCCACACCTTCAGATCGGTTGTATTGCACACCCACACCTTCAGCCTGGTTGTATTGCACACCACACCTTCAGCCTGGTTGTATTGCACACCCACACCTTCAGCCTGGTTGTATTGCACACCAACACCTTCAGCCTGGTTGTATTGCACACCAACACCTTCAGCCTGGTTGTATTGCACACCACCACACCTTCAGCCTGGTTGTATTGTTCAACATCAGATCCCACACCTTCAGATCGGTTGTATTGCACACCCACACCTTCAGATCTGGTTGTATTGCATACCCACACCTTCAGATCGGGTTGTATTGCTGGTTGTATTGCACACCCACACCTTCAGCCTGGTTGTATTGCACACCAACACCTTCAGCCTGGTTGTCTTGTACACCAACACCTTCAGCCTGGTTGTATTGCACATCCACACCTTCAGCCTGGTTGTATTGCACACCCACACCTTCAGATCAGTTGTATTGTACATCAACACCTTCAGATCGGTTGTATTGCACATCAACACCTTTCATCAGCACCCACACCTTCAGATCGGTTGTATTGTACACCCACACCTTCACCTTCAGCCTGGTTGTATTGCACACCCACACCTTCAGCCTGGTTGTATTGCATACCAACACCTTCAGCCTGGTTGTATTGTATTGTACACCAACACCTTCAGATCGGTTGTATTGCACACCCACACCTTCAGCCTGGTTGTATTGCACACCAACACCTTCAGCCTGGTTGTATTGCACATCAACACCTTCAGATCGGTTGTATTGCACACCCACACCTTCAGCCTGGTTGTATTGCACACCCACACCTTCAGCCTCGGTTGTATTGCAACACCTTCAGATTGGTTGTACACACCCACACCTTCAGCCTGGTTGTATTGCACACCCACACCTTCAGCCTGGTTGTATTGCACACCCACACCTTCAGCCTGGTTGTATTGCATCACCCACACCTTCAGCCTGGTTGTATTGCACACCCACACCTTCAGCCTGGTTGTATTGCACACCAACACCTTCAGCTGGTTGGCACACCCACACCTTCATTGTTGTACACCAACACCTTCAGCCTGGTTGTATTGCACACCCACACCTTCAGCCTGGTTGTATTGCACACCCACACCTTCAGATCTGGTTGTATTGCACACCAACACCTTCAGCCTGGTTGTATTGCACACCAACACCTTCAGCCTGGTTGTATTGTACACCCACACACCTTCAACATCAGCCTGGTTGTATTGCACACCTTCAGATCGGTTGTATTGCACACCCACACCTTCAGCCTGGTTGTATTGCACACCCAACACCTTCAGATCTCGGTTGTATTGCACACCCAACACCTTCACCCACACCTTCAGCCTGGTTGTATTGCACACCCACACCTTCAGCCTGGTTGTATTGCATACACCAACACCTTCAGCCTGGTTGTATTGCACACCAACACCTTCAGCCTGGTTGTATTGCACACCCACACCTTGTATTGTATTTGCACACCAACACCTTCAGCCTGGTTGTGTATTGCACACCCACACCTTTCAGATCGGTTTGTATTGCACTTCAGCCTGGTTGTATTGCACACCCACACCTTCAGCCTGGTTGTATTGCACACCCACACCTTCAGCTGGTTGTATTGCATACCCACACCTTCAGCCTGGTTGTATTGTACACCAACACCTTCAGCCTGGTTGTATTGCACACCAACACCTTCAGATCGGTTTGTATTGCACACCCACACCTTCAGCCTGGTTGTATTGCACACCAACACCTTCAGCCTGGTTGTATTGTACACCCACACCTTCAGATGGTTGTATTGCACACCAACACCTTCAGCCTCGTTGTATTCACACCTTCAGATGTTGTATTGCACATCCACACCTTCAGCCTGGTTGTATTGCACACCGATGAAACACCTTCAGATCAGTTGTCAGCACAGATCACCTTCAGTCTGGTTGTATTGCACATCAACACCTTCAGCCTGGTTGTATTGCACATCAACACCTTCAGCCTGGTTGTATTGCACATCCACACCTTCAGCCTGGTTGTATTGCACATCAACACCTTCAGCCTGGTTGTATTGCACACCCACACCTTCAGCCTGGTTGTATTGCACACCAACACCTTCAGATCGGTTGTATTGCACATCAACACCTTCAGATCGGTTGTATTGCACATCAACACCTTCAGCCTGGTTGTATTGTACACCCACACCTTCAGCCTGGTTGTATTGCACACCAACACCTTCAGCCTGGTTGTATTGCACATCAACACCTTCAGATCTGGTTGTATTGCACACCAACACCTTCAGCCTGGTTGTATTGCACACCCACACCTTCAGCCTGGTTGTATTGCACAACACCAACACCTTCAGATTGGTTGTATTGTACATCCACACCTTCAGCCTGGTTGTATTGCACATCAACACCTTCAGATCTGGTTGTATTGCACACCCACACCTTCAGCCTGGTTGTATTGCACATCAACACCTTCAGATCGGTTGTATTGTACACCCACACCTTCAGCCTGGTTGTATTGCACATCAACACCTTCAGATCGGTTGTATTGCACATCAACACCTTCAGATCGGTTGTATTGCACATCAACACCTTCAGATCGGTTGTATTGTACACCCACACCTTCAGCCTGGTTGTACTTGCACATCAACACCTTCAGATCGGTTGTATTGCACATCAACACCTTCAGATCGGTTGTATTGCACACCCACACCTTCAGCCTGGTTGTATTGCACATCAACACCTTCAGATCGGTTGTATTGCACACCCACACCTTCAGCCTGGTTGTATTGTACATCAACACCTTCAGATCGGTTGTATTGCACACCCACACCTTCAGCTTGGTTGTATTGTACATCAACACCTTCAGATCGGTTGTATTGCACACCCACACCTTCAGCTTGGTTGTATTGTACATCAACACCTTCAGCTTGGTTGTATTGTACACCAACACCTTCAGATCGGTTGTATTGTACACCCACACCTTCAGATCGGTTGTATTGTACACCCACACCTTCAGACCTTTGTGTGGTTGCACACTACAATCAAATTTGAACAAAATAGTCTCAATACCCAACAAAACTATCCAGGACACATTTCCTCGTTTGAAGTGAGGTACGTTGCAGAGCATGGAGTCATCCTTGTCATTTTACTGACTGGGTAGACCTCTCTAGTCATATGGACAAGGTGTTCCACATTGAATCTGTTGTTCAAATCCTCTCACACACCTTGGAAATGTTATCAAAATTGTGTATCATTATATTACATTTTCATAATTTAACTCTTATCAGGCAAAAACTTTGAATTGGCAAATAAATATTCATAGTCTTGGCAATCACTGACAGCAGCATTTGTGATAAATCATATCATTCATGTACAAATACCAAAGGTTAAGCACACTTTGTCCAATATTACAGTTAATAAATCATGAAGACTGGTTAGATCATAAATCTATTTTATTTTGTGTATGAAACTGTACATATCTGACTAGTATTTCTTTGGGAAATGCAACGTACATTACATTGTGATACTAACCGCTGTTGTTGAATATCAATACACTATACACAGCCATTACAGGCGACATCTGCATTCACCACACAGATGCTAAGGCACAAATCCAACATTACGCATGTCTGGTCCACGTGTTCTAGAAATAGATTAGCGTCAATTGCACTCAATTTCGGTGGAAACTCCCCTTAATGTCCCTGTTAGTTCAGCAACAAGCAAGCAGGGAATCTACTGTTAGTTGAATAGATATGGATAAAGGTTAAATCTATTGACATTTAATTGTGATTTTTATATTTTTATAACTATAGCATATCTAAATGAAGGAACATTCAGTGGTTTGAAAATTCCCCATTTCTAGCAAAATTGTGAGACATCCAAACAAATTTAGAATTTTTCATTAATAAATCTGATCAAAACAATCAAGTTTCCACAAATACATATACATGTATAGTCAACAAAAAAAGGTAAAGGACCACCCCAATTTTCAATATTTAAGCATTTAATAGTTCATATTATTATCCATACAATACTTAAATGCTGAATATTGGGGTGGTCCTTAACTCCTTTTGTTGAGTATATAAATTTGAAAATCCAAACCAGACATGCCTAATGTTTTCAGTCCAGGCCATAGTTAATCACAAGGTAATGTGACAGAATGACTTCACAGTACACATTACTGGTCATTTCAAAGCTGATTCATTTCATGAAATCAACATCGTCAATTACGAAATCAACATTTCGTGACAAGATGTATTTCAAAATGCCTCAATACAAATCTATGATTTTATTAATATTTTAACACACTTACTGTTAGTTTAAATAACTGATAATATTTTTTGTAATATATAAACAATAATTTGGCCAAAGTAACAAATCTCCAAAGGACAAGACCTGTTGCCATTGTTGTGAAGGACACAATGGACACAACAGCATAACTACTAAAATCTTTCTTTTTGATTTTTAATTGTAAAACAAATGCCATTTATATAATAAAAAGCAATGTAGGTAATTATAACAAACAAAGACTAAAATCCTTCTTAAGGAAAAAGACAATTATAAACCCTATCGAAATAATTATCAAAGAAAACTGACAAAATACAAATATGGTGAAAATCACCAAATATATCAAGTAACACCTATATATATTTTTTAAGTTTTTGAAATCTGTTACTTTACATATTAAGTTCTATGAACCTGGGCACTTTTTCAAGATTCATTAACACATTTAAAAAGAGCACTAAAAAGCCATGGATAAGATATGAAAATATAACAATTATTTAAGATCAAGTCGAAATGTGCAAGCAATTTTCATTTTGAAATAATATACTTGCTTCTTTCAGAAACCAAATGTACATTTTCATTGAGAGATTCAAATTTAGCGTACTGGAAAACATTTTAACCACCTTGACAACTGGGAAAATAGCTTATCAATGGAAATACTTTGAAAGTGATACAGAATCTTAAAAAGAAATTCAAATTGGAAAGGTACATAGAAATTTAGCAAAAAGAAATATATCAGCGTTTAATTTTTGTAAATTACCTGAGTATATATTTACTACCAAGTAGATTCTACTGAGGCAATCTCCCAAACGTCACATAACAAAAAGTATGAATTCATAGATTGTTGTCCACTGACATCACCATCAATTACATTTCAAATCTTGATTAAAATACATTAAAATCAACTAATATGTTTCATCAATACACTAGGAATCATGTGGGGTAATTATCATACATGTGGAAATGTTAATACAAGTTGTATGCCAGCAGTATGAGATGTGAGCACCACATACATATGTATATATATACCGGTAGCCAATCTTGCACAAATCTAAAATGTCACATGTTTGTGGCAGTTCCTTTGAAATAGACAATGGTTGGATGAGGACAATGAGAAAAGGCACATTTCTACACTCTTTGCAAACAATGTTATTTTTTCATCCAATTTTCTCTCTGAAATGAAAGTAGTTGTCTGTACAATATGACCTATTTTCAAATTTTGCCCAAACTGCTTAAATCCAGATTGTGAATATTCCGCACACAGTTCACTTAACGTCATTCACATAAATGCATCAGCAATCATCTATAAATTCACTTTGGCACATTCGACGAGGGCGAATTCACATAGCACCCATAGACTTCAACATACAAAAAGCGCACCAACGCTTCAACACACAGATTCTTCACCGTTCATTGCCATTAGTTTTAAATCTCGACTTTCGAGTTCTAGAGTTAGCTGTTCAACTTCAGCTTCCAATGTTCGGTTTTTCCGGTACATCTGTACATAGTTGAGCTGTAATTGTTTCTGGTAGCGAATCACCTTGTTCTTCTCATCCAACCATGTTTCTCTGTCCTTTTCGAAATTTGCACGGTGTACGAGGATTTCGTCTCGTAACCTATCCACCTCGTCTTTCAGTTCCGCTATTTGCCTGTCTCTGGCGGAAACGATGGAAGGTTTGAGCAATTCCGGCTCTGTGTCACACATTGTGTCGTCCAAATCAGATTGCACACCTGCATCACAAAATTCTGGCTCTTCGGTCGATAACTTTCCGAGTTCGTTTTTCAGAGATTTTAACTCTTCTGTCTTTGAGAGTATTTCTCGGAACTTTTCCGATAATTCTTTATTCTTCTTATCCATTTCCGACTCGTGAGAGTGGAGTTGAGTTCTTAGGGTAATCACCTCACGGCTCTTTTGAGTCACTTCCTGGTTCAAATCCCGAACTTGTTGACGCAGTTCGGAAGTTTCGTTAATTTCTGTTGTAGGATGTCCATTGTGTTGTAGACATCCCAGCCTCAGTTTCATATCTCGGACTTCGTCTTGATAAGAGCTGCATTCTTTTCGAAGAATATCTTTCTCCAGGTACTGTTTATCATATTCATCCTTCAAAGCTTTCTTCTCTTGTTGAAGTTTATAAACCTGCAGCGATAACACCTGTTCCGTTTTGTAATTCTTACGCTGCTGAATTTTGAATTTACGTTCATACTCCTCTCGCAATTCACGCATATCTTTCAGCCACCCAGATTTCTTTTCCTCATAGACTTGAAATATTGCTCTTTCGTTTCTGTCCATGACATCGCGCAATGTATTCAACTCCGCATCCTTTTCTTTCAACATAGCTTCCAGTTCACCAACTCCACTGTCACTTGGAGAAGGTGTCTGGACAGGAAATACCTCCATGTTATTTGAAGACACACGGCTGACATTAAGCGATGGCAGCGACTCGGGTCTGTCGAGAGGTCGCGAGAAGTCGCTTGAGAAACTCGTGGACCTCTCACTGCCATCATGATGAGAACTATGCGAGGAGTTCATGGTCTTGCTACTTGTCATACTGCCAGTCATGTGATTATAGTCATGTGACCCATACCCTTCATCCTGATTGGATAGTCGTCTCTTTGCTCCTTGGGGCGGACTAATCTGCTTCGCACTGTTCACAGGCTTAAAAGCGATTGGTCGCACAATGCTTCGGCCCACATTCTGAAAATAAAAAAAATAAAAATCAGCACAATTCTTCAAACATAACAATCTTAGATCAAAAATACAATTATCTGTTTAAACAGTAATCTGCAGTGAAGAAATGATCAAAATAAATTTTAACTGAAAAACAAAGGTCTGAAACATCAACCCTGTTGAACTCCTACAGTAACTTTGAATACATGACTCTGAAGGCAAAATGGTCACAAAATCATTCAAAGCTACTACACACAGTAAAATATGACCACACATGCTCTCATTATCAGTATGCGTATGTACCTAAATACCTACTCTGAATACACCACACACACAAAGTCATGTAGGCACACATTGTGGAAAATGCCCTGGTGTGTGACAAGTTGCCTCATTAAGTTGCAGTGGTCTTAATAATTCAGATACTCCACAATATGGCTTCCCGTCAGACTCACCACACTGACGTTAGTTGGGTTTATTATTTCATGCTTCCAAGTTCACCTTCCGGAAAAATATGACACTTGCGTGCCTAATAGCAAACCGTCTATAATAACCAGAGCTAAGTGCTTGTTGGAAATGACCAAGTGCCTGTCAATTGAACATGCACATATGTATTCCATATATAACTTGTACATATCTGCTTGTTTAGCGGATACCAGCACCAATGAGTGTATGCTACTCAACTGTAGCTAGGGATACTTCCTACCATTTACACTGCACACAATTAGTGTTGCTTCATGGGTATCAACATTTCCTATACAGGTTGAGTGGTATATTTAGTTGTGAAAGAGTACTTAATGTATGGTGGCTTGTCAGTTCCAAATCACAAGATACAATGTTTCTTGTATGCATAATTCTATATCATTCATGCATGCATCCATCCATCCATACATTTGTATAGCGCCGATATCCAGTACAACTGCTCAAAGGCGCTTTGTTTTCCCTCGATCATTGGATGTCCATCACAACGGCACAACGTATTTTCAATCTCAACTCCCTGGGGATCATATAACTCTTGCTGCCTACTAGGCGCACCGAGTTAATGTGGCTTTCCCATCCTTATCCTGGATGTAAATACAAAAGACTTGACCAGACAATCCTGTGACTTAAATGCAATGTCCACTTTTACTATCAGGCCAGACATTAGTCTGTCATACAGACCCTGAATCAAATATATCCAAGAAATGCAAGTCTAGAAAATGTGGCAAGTCTAGAAGAAAGCCTCGGGGCTCCTTTTCATTATGTTTTTTTTACTGTGAACTACTTTTTCTGTAAAACATGTTTATTTCAGAGACTAGCTGTTAGTCAAACCATATATATTTTCACCCTTATTTAACAAATTATGCTAATTAAAAGCAACAATGACTACCATTACACATGATTAGGATAATTGTTAATTGCAAACACACTGTGTACACAAGAGGTTGTGTTGTACCAAATCACAGTAGGAGGTACAAAAATTACTGTGTGCCCGTATGAAGAACAAATCAATTTAAAAAAGAAATGACCAAAAACATGACGGTTTGGCTAACATCCTTGTTGCAACCATAACTTTAAAAAGATAAAAGGGCAAAAGAAAACTACCAATAGGACCAAAAGAGTGAGTGAGTGAGTGAGTATGGTTTTACACGGCTTTTAGCAATATTCCAGCAATATCACGGCAGGGGATACCAGAAATGGGCTTCACACATTGTACCCATGTGGGGAATCGAACCCGAGTCTTCGGCATGATGAGCGAATGCTTTAACCACTAGGCTACAAAAGACCAAAAGAAAAACATCTCCATACTCCAGAATCACCCTGAATTCCTGACCACACCATTTATGATGTCACTGTGAGAGCAACTCATACAAATATATCTGGCCAAATTGAAAACATAAATTTATCGGGCACAAACAAAAACTTCCACAACAAAAGTATGTTGATGGTAAGACCTTCAAGATCTGTTGTGTCACAAGCTAAGTCTATGTTTGAAAAAAGACGACCCACTAATCTAACAGTAGTAAAAAACCACACTTTAATTCTCCCCGCCCAACACTACATATAAACTGTAGATTCTCCACAACAAAGACATAGTGTGCTCTTCTTCACTGAGGTAAACTGGGCTGACACTCGAGGATCTGATTTCAGTCTAACTGCTGTGTATATCTTCCTGGAGTGATGTGGGTTGGGTTCTACTGGAGCTTGTAGTGTTTGATCCTTAACCTGGCCAACTATCTTAAACCTTGCCGGTAAGACTGTGTTACAAATAATTATAACACTGAAGACATTGACAAAGCACAGGTAGAAAATCAAAGGGGATTTGGTCTGAAACTGTATACACTTGAATATTTTTGTGAGCAGAGGCTCAGGTTTTTAGATACTGTTTCGAGATTGTGACAGTTTGCTGATAACAATGGTGTGATAGGATCATGATAAAAGCTGGGAAGTGTTTTGCGTGCAAACAGGGAAAAAAGCTGGAGTGGGTGGGCGAGTGGGAGTGAGTGGGTGGGTGAAAGGGTGGGTGAGTGAGTGAGAAAGTGCTGGAGTGAGTGAGTGAGTGAGTGAAGTGGATATTAAATGCTTATACAGCATTTTTAAGCATGTCAGCGATAAAAATGATGCAGTCTTGAATAATGACGCAGATCAAATCTTTCTGTAATGTCTGCCTCCCTCATATGATACTGTTACATTCTGCATGGTCTTCAGACACGGTACCAATTAGAGAATAAAACTCATGTCCTCTGGAAGATGAACCAAGCATTTAACCACTAGGCTACCTACACCCACGAACATACTGCTGAAGTTATCATGCATCATTAAGACTTTACCACATATCATGATGTGTATTTATATACATTTCAAAAATGAAATTAAACCAAAATTTTCAAAATTCATGCAAACAAATATCTACACGACAAACACAATGTACACACCTACCTCACCTGATAATCTCATCTAACCACAAACCATAGTAGGCATGAACTTAACCATCCTCCATCTATATTCAAAATTAGAAACATGACCTCCTAGTCAATGGAACACATGATCTAGACCTGTCATCAAAAGGTGACTGGAAACGCCAAATGACTCGGAATAATCAATCTAATCCTATAAGTCGTGTCTATTTCCAGGTTCACAATAGGCGATAACAGAGCTTAATGATTGGAACAGCTTTACCACTGTTTGAACAGACAAGTGCTGACTTGTAAAAAGACAATGCTACGATCACAGCCAGGCTCCCTGCTAAGACATTCTGAACACATAGGTAACACACAATAGTACAGGAGGTATTTCAGATGAAAACTACAGATAAAGCTGACTGACGGAAATCTGATACTAGATATCCTGTTAAGTCGCTGACCATATAGTTTATAGTTCTTGGACATTAGGCTAAATACAAGTTAAGGACGCACTAAGCTTTATTACGGCAATGATGAAATGGGCTTTACTTGTTTCTACGCTAATATCTTTATCCTTTTATTTAGTTATGTGGTTTTCGGTGCAGGCTTTGTGGTTAGAAATGTTCGCTCGGTGATTTACTGGAAGGGGATTACGTGGGTGTTACTTAATAATTGGGGATGATGATCGGGGTAAGGAGAGTTAATGCCTTGTGAGAGTGGGAACAATTACTAGTCACTGTAAGTAGAGTCACATCCGGGGGGTAATTCACGCTATATTTACTGTGATTTCATGAACAAAAAAGATCAATTCAAATTTGTGAGTCAGTGATTATCGCTTAGCATTCTTATAGCTCTTTGTGGTGAGCTTAGTATATTTTTCATAACCTAAGTTAATTATTCAGACTACAAATTGAGACCAAGCTATTACATTTAGGTGGACGAGTTTAGTTTTGGCAAAAGGTAACATTTTCCAGAAAAGGACAAAATTTATAATCAACCATCAGGATAGTTTTGAGGTTATTATCCTTGAAAACGATCATAAAAAAAATCTTCAAACACAAAATTGAAAATATTTTTGAACAACACAGCACTTATTATTCTGTATAATTTATTTGTATAAGTGTGTGCTCAAGAAATCCAGAGCAGTGTCTTCTATAAAATCAGGAAAATGTCAATTGTTTTTAAAATTTTTTCATCAATAACTCAGCATGAATTAATCACAATTTGTAAATCCAACCAGCAATCAACAATAAGCCACAAACAACTACCGTCAGGAAACAGATGTAAATGCAATTGACACTGCTTGACCCTAATGATCAATCAAACCTTCACTGACACGCATATTTCAAATACACCCCTATCTCTTAGATGGCTTGATAAGATTTTCACTTGGTGACACCTATCTGTAATCTTATCCTGAGGGTAAAATGTACACAACGCCTACATATCAAGGCCATGGTGGAGTCATTGTCTTATGAGATTAGTTGTATGACTAATAGTATCGGTTACAGCAGTATTTACCAACAGAGTCAAAATGACCGGAATATTTATGTGGGTGTTGTGTAGAGTCATACACATGTGACTGACATATACTTTACACCAAAAACAATTTAAATATCTGACATGTGAGATAAATACTTCATGAGTCAGGTGATTAATCAAGGAATATTTATGTGGGTGGAGAAGTGTTCAGATTGCTGCATGAAACCAAAAACATTTTTTGTTAAAATTTGACAAATTCTCATAAATTCAATTAAAAATTCAATCACATTAAACCAATTGAACATATGTATGTCATGGGGATTTTCTTCCACCAAGTATTTATCAATAAAAACATTATTTAATATTTAATGTAAGTGACTTCTTACATTTGACATATTGTAGAAGCTGATTCAGAAGAAAATGTATCATATATTAATCAAAGCATTTTGAAAAGAGATACTAGATATACCATTAAGTAAAATTAAACAGAAAATTTATTTCTTTTGTTCAAACCTTTTCGATTTGAAATCTTAATATATTTTATTTTTTTGGTAAATAAATAACATTTATTTCAGATGAACATCATAATCAATATATTAAAAATATATTGGTTTCAAATAATATTACAAATGAAATTGACACACTTGATGTATCACTTACCATGTG